CGAGATCAGTTTGCAAAACGTATAATCTACAGGCCAAAACCAATGCTTCGGTCTGTACATGTATAGTTTAGACTGTCTCTCGAGTAACTGGATTGTCAATTGTTGGAACATTAGTTTGCGTTCGGGCGATATGGACTCTTCGCCACTAGCGCTGACTGAGATGTTTTGCGGCGGGGGATCATTTGAGTTCGATTGCACTGCAATTTGCAGAGCAGACAGACATCGGGCTCTCCAGCCCGCTTTTTAGAATATTTCAAATCGAGATGAGGCTGAAGTGGCTAGTCAGGTTCAAGGACGACAACTACGGCTGATCCCCTGTTTTGCTTTGACCTACCTGGGCAAATGTCAGACCTACAACCGTATGACGGACCCGTTGTTAAAGGTATAAGAAGAACAATGAAGCTGGTTGTTGGCTCTCCTTTCTTGCGGCATGTTGGCTGGGGGTGTCTCTAAGACGGACGCGGAAATTTCGAATAGAACGCACAATATCAGGGCATGGAAAAGATATGGAAAAAATATAATACAATTATTATGGGTATTATACTGACGGAATAACTTATTATTGGTAGAAGAATATTATAATTATTATTATTGCTTGAAGCAAAACTCCAACCCTCATCTAATGGGCATACAAAAACCAAGCTTAAATTAGCTAATTGCAATAATAATGTTTTTTGCACGGAATTATTTATTATTGAATGCTGGATATTACAATGCTTATTATTAGAAGATTTTTAAGTATAATTAAATATTGTATTTTCCATGACCTGGGACGTATCAAAGTTTTCTTACATTCAATGCTTCATTACTAATGTAACAATTCAATTTTTACCTGCATTGCTATTGAAAAATGTTGACCCTGTTGGCGACGGTCACATCTTCGTGCAGCATGCAGCTGCAAGTAATTTATATAGTTATTTTTATTTATTGATCGGGTTCTTTATGGGCTAAATACCACGATATCGCTTATCCCACAGAGACTCTGTGGGATATCTCTGTGACAGAGTTATCCACATTGATGACCTAGGACCCACTTACATGTCCAGATCTCTATTTGTAATGCTACTCACTCAGCTACATGTAGTTGTGGCACGATATTATTAGAGGATGCTGTGAGTAGACTAAGGGCCAGGTGCTGCATTCTTGCCAATGTCGAAGCTCCAATTGTTTTGCCAGTTCGACGAACTTCTGCGGTTGAATGCGGTCTTCTAATCGAAGACAGGAGGGACTTAAAGTGTTGTAGTTGTTTGTTCTCGTTCGTATACTGTCGACAAGGAACCTAAGTAGTTTGGGCCAAGAACAACGCGCAAGTGCCGCACAGTTGATAGGAAAAGGAGGTAAACCAAGCAAAAAGGTGACAGAGTAACCTGACGTCTTGCCCACGAACGGAACACTCTTTAGATTCTCCGTGGTGTAATTTACCGTGGTCATGCTGTACGATTTCGCTGCAAGGGACTAATATCACTCGAGTTCCATTCACCTGCGCTATTTGCACAGTTTTATAGTTTTTGTTAACATGCAATGCTCGAAATTTCAGAGCGCAGTATGATAAACTAATTTTTATAAGCTTAAAGCGTTCTTAGAAAAATAAAATGTATTTTATAATTGAGTCCCACGAGACGAAAAAAACTATATTTATTTTTGAGCAAGCTTTGAGCCCAGATATTTGAACTACGTTTTTTCCAGGTGTAGCATCCAGATATTTCCCAGGTTTGGAATTTATTTTTCTTCCCGCAATTTATTTTGTTTTCCTTTCACGCCCAGCCACTCAATCGTAGAACTGACACGCGGCAGGTCGGAGAAAGTGTGACGGGGTCACACAGCACCTTGTGCAGAGAAAGTTTATTTCCTCTAGAGTATACAAACTCTAAGTGAACGACCGTTCACGTGTCCCTGGTCTGAAGGGGACGAA